TGCTTCTCCCTCTGACCCTCCCCCCTCTCATGTACTCGCTCGCTCTCATTCTCTCTCTCTCAAATAAATAAATAAAATCTTTAAAAAAAAAAAAAAAAAGGATAGGCAACTCTTCCTTCCTGTAATTGTACCCCAAACCCTGTAGAATGGCACATTGTTGCCTGTGAAGTAAGTCCATTTGAAGAACTATACATTTTGTCAAGAGAGTCTACTAAAGGGGTCGACGGCATCTTTAAGAGAATATACTGAGGCCAACTTTTCACTCTCAGTGGTCATGCCCAGTAATCTCCGAAGCCTTTTCATGTAGACCTGCTCATGATTTTTTGAAATCATTTGAGTGACGCCCAAGATTTTGTGGCTGTCATCATTAAGTACCTGCATTCCTTAATTTTTACTTAATGCCTTTCTGAAAATGGATTTAAAAGTCAAATGCGAAAGTCAAACAATAGACTGAGATGCTCAAGAGAGATTCATTTCCAGAAAGCTAGAAAAAAAATAAAATCTCTAATTATGCTTCACCTGTAAGATTTAGTTTCCAACAGTTTATTGTCAGCATTTGGTACTTGTTTCTTTAAATTGAATCTTCTATTTCAGTCAAACGTTTTGTCCATGAGTTGAATGTTGTTATGAACGTTCCAGAGGGGTTGGAGCTTTTAGGATGCATCTTATCAATACTTCTTTTCTGTGCCTCCTTCTTTTTATGAAATAATTAGCACCAAATACAGTAAAAAAAGTCAGTTTCACAGACATAGATGGCAATCGTCCTAAGCCAAAATGTAGTCAGCACTGTCTTGCTTGACTTGGTTATTCATCAGCTGGTAAATGAAAGTCTTAGTTTTGTGGATGAACTCTTCAGTATATGTGTGTGGTGGTCAGTTTATAATGACCAAAAGCATGAGTAATTCAAATGTTGAATGAATGAACACTGAGGCCTTCTGGTATTCCAGTAATTTTTGACAAAATACATTTTAATCTTTGTAATTTTGCACTATCATCCTATGTCCTAACCAAGTGACTGAGGCCTGGAAATCAGTGAAGGAATCAAGAATCTCTTCAGAGCCATGTTTTTAAATTCTCCCAACCCCCCACTTTATCCCTGCTTTGAAATTCCAAATACTTTATCTGAACCTTTGTTAGGGCATGTATTCTAAAGATTGTTTTTGAGTTAGTTGCTACTTATCTCCCATTTTAGATTATAAGTTCTGTGAGTACAGAAAACATGTCTTGCTGATCTTTTTGTCTTTCAGAGCGCCCAGTACTTTGCAAAGAGCAGATGCTCCTTTAAAGCCTTTCAAATTTTGGGGGCGCCTGGGTGGCTCAGTCAGTTGGGCGCCTGCCTTCAGCTTGGGTCATGATCTCAGGGCCTAGGATTGAGCCCCGCGTCGGGCTCCCTGCTCAGCGGGGAGTCTGCTTCTCCCTCTGGCCTTCCTTGTGCTTTCTCTCTGTGTCTGTATCAAATAAAATCTTTAAAAAGCACAAATTAAAAAATAAGCTTTAAAAAATAAAGTTTTTCAAATTTTGATTAATAGAATACAAAATGAATTGTCCTTCTTTTACAACTCTACTTATGGCCTGTTATTTCTAATGGAAAGGTTATGGACTAATGACTGATCTCTTTTCTCTACTGTCTTCATAAGATATCAGTTGAATTTGGAATTTTCCTCTTTTTGGAGGAAAAAAAATAACAGTTGCTTCAGTTGTTTTAACTGGGTCTTAAGAGAAAATTTCTGGAGTCACAGGAGCTATATGAACATGACCTTCAAGAACCATCTACAGTATGAAAAGTATCCATTTGTATATTAAAGTGTTACTGTTGACTAGAAATGTTCCTGTAACTGAGGGAAGATGGCTGACAATTTTGTTAACATCTCATGTAAACTTGGCTTTTTTTTCAGCTGTGTCAGATTCAGGGAGTTTTGTAGCTTCTAGATCCCGGCGAGAAAAGAAATCAAAGAGAGGGCGCCAGGAAGCTCTAGAAAGACTGAAAAGGGCTAAAGCTGGTGAGAAGTATAAATATGAAGTAAGTAACCATTTTTTTTGTTTTTTCTTCTGCTTCATCTAATTCATAGCCTGTAGGTATTTTATGTCCCCTTTGTCATTGATTAGAAATATGCATGTATTTTGTGCTTGTAAGAGTAATTTCTTACTATGGAACAAGCATGGGCATGAAGTAGATTTATACATTGTATCAACTATTTGGCTCTTTAAGTTCCTGTAAGGCCCTTTACAGATGCTGTTAAATTCTGAAATGAAAGTAGCTATACATTTTTTTCCTTATTAAGCCCACTGCATGGGGTGCCTGGTGGCTCGGTCGATTAAGCGGTTAAGGGTCTGCCTTTGGCTCAGGTCACAATCCCGGGGTCCTGGGATCGAGTCTTGCAGGGGAGTCTGCTTCTCCCTCTCCCTCTGCCCCTCCCCCCTCGTGTGCGCGCGCGTTTTCTCTCTCTCTCTCGCTCTCTCTTACTCTCTTAGATAAATAAAAATCTTTAAAAAAACCCAGCACACTGCAGCTTTGGTAAGTTTCATAGCTTTGTTGGGGGAACTTAGAAATGCTTTTACTTTACTCTTAAGGTAGTGAGCAGTCTAGCTAAGCACGCTTCTCCTTGGAGAAAACTGTTCCTAATTTCATCTGTAGTCGGTGAGGACTTGGGCTTACTTCTGCTGTGTCCTGTGTGTAAGATTGAATATGATGCCCTTTTGGCTGTTTTCCTCTAACTACTGTTGATGACTTGCAGGTAAAAAAACAAAACAAAAACCAGAGTGGTTACCATCTAACAGCATTGTCTGGCTTTACCTTCAATGTGCTCCCTGAGTATCTCAGCTGCCTCAGGGCTTGAAAGTGATTAATTCATCCGAGGAAAAAATGATAACAGCAACTGCTGCTATACTTTTTTAGTGAACACTGTTTTAAGTGCTTTTACAAATATGTTCGTTTATTTAATCTTTCCAGTAATCATGAAAAGTTAGATACTGTGATTAACAGCATTTCATAGGTGAGAATCCTGAGGTCATAGTGGCAGAGCCTTGATTTGAGCACAGGCAGTCTGGCTTCAGAATATGCATATTTAACCATGGCCTATACTGTGTTGTGCAATTAAGAAAGTAGAAGATTTTTGTCATTTGGCATCATTCACTCGAGTTAAGTGAGTCAACCAGATCACAAAGGGTTGCTAAAAGGATTATAGTAAAGCAGGAGTAAAACATTTTTAATGTAGGTACTTCTATAAAGGAGTTGTGTGGGGGCATTTCAGATGTTGACACAATGTGACTGATTTCCCTCTAATCACTCATGTTAATTGCATGGCTCTGAGAGTTCATGCCAAGCAGTAGCACGGTTTTTTTTTTGACAGTCAAAATGACTTTTTACTCAAAATGTTTTTCTAAGGTAGTTTTCTGGTATCTTTTTGATAGTATAGAAGTGAGTTGCTTAAATAAGACACAAAGAATGCCTCATGGACGTCAACAAAAATCATCCTGCCGGTTCCCTTCCCCTGCCAAAAGAAAATTGGTCAGTAGAGTAATATTAATTGGACTAGTTTGTGTTTGTGTTGTCAAAAACTTAATTTGGTAGGGCAGGTAGTTTCTATTATCAGATGATGAAAGGCTAGATCAACATTTGCCTGTGATCCCTATAGAACAGATTAAACAGCAGGTGAAAACTAAGCCTGATCCTGTAATTGTTATACGTCTTGTAGCTGTGGCAGGAGTCCAGTCAGCTCTGCCCATTGGGTTCTTGAAGCTCTGTGTCCCAGTGATTTTTCCTGGACTCTTAGCTCTTCTGCTGGGGTTAGTCGTTTCCTCTACCCGCTACCCACTTGAACTCTGGAGAGAAGGGGCAATTTTTAATCGGTATCTATGAGTTCTTCTAAGCAGCCCACCAAATTCTCATCTGGGTCAGTCGATGGCAGCTGAGTCGTGTGCTTCTGTTCTGCTTGTTGCTTAAACTGTGCTGAGGTGGTCTGCTCTCTTCATGCCAAGAGATACCAGCGTTCTGGCCCTCTGGCAGTTGGGCAGCTCATGTTATTGGAGGACTTCCCCTTCACACAGCTCAGCATTCCAGTGTTTGCAGTCTCAAGACCTGAGAATGGTAGGGGATCAGTGGTAATACAGATAGGGATCACTCAAAAAATTATTTCTAGTGTACCCGTAGAATAGAGAGTATGTTTGTTTTCGCTTATTTTGCTGATGTGAGGAGGGAGATAGGTGGGGGAGAGTTTCCTTTTGAACTACATTTGGTTGAATAGTTACTAAAATTGTCAGTTTGCAGGGCAGCATCAGCTAGGGGAGAGGGAGTTGGCATGCCTTATGAGTTTGCTAAGTACAGGAGAAACCAGTCTAGAAGTTATAAGTGAATAATCCCCAAAGCAGCTAACAAAGAATTGGCTATAATTCAGTTTGTTTTTTATGAAGTAGATGAGTAATTGATGGTGTGACAAGTATATTATGCTAATGGAATCATTTAATATCTTGTGTTAACACCCACCTAAAAGGAATACTAAGTTAATTGATATCTATTTAAGGAAAACCTGGTAGTGGTGTTGAATGTCAGAATTCATGATTTGGTTGCAGCTACTCCTTCAGGCTGCCATTCCAGTTTCAATTTGACAATTTTTCATCAGAATTGTTTAACACTTTAACTCCATTGGAAGCTTAAACTTGTATGATGGCAGGTTGAGGACTTCACAAGTGTTTATGAAGAAGTTGATGAAGAACAGTATTCGAAGCTGGTTCAGGCCCGCCAGGATGATGACTGGATCGTGGATGATGGTATGTGGGAAGAAATTGCCTCCTAGGCATTGTTTTAGTTGCTTTTCATCTAGTCTTATGTGGTAGAGTTGATGCTTTGCATGAGCAGATGTAAGACACTGTTAAGATGGTACTGTTGGTTCAGATTTTTCTCAAATTATTTGAGAGAGTGGAGGGAGTACAATAGAAAGTTTATTTGGGGGTATTTTGGAGAATCCAGGCACAAACCTCAGGTAAATCCTTCATGAAATGACTTTGTAGGAATTGGGCAGAATCACGTGCCTGTGGGGTATCCTCCGGTGATGTGGGGATAAGAAAACTGTCTATTGCACAGAGTGGCTGTGAGGATTACACGAAACTATATGCGTGAAGAGTAACTTGGACAGTCGAAAGCACCAGATAGAGGCTGGTCCTGATGTTCTTACAACCTATGTCGAAAGTCACTGGTTCCTGCTTGTCCAGTGTGACTTGTTGGGCATGCGCCTGCTGACCATGGGGAGCGGTGTGGATTGCACCTGCGACCATATTTATGTTTCTATTTCTGTAGTTGGACTTAGCCATATTGCCAGTTTCCCCTCATAGACTGAGGTGCTTTTCTGGGCTTCTGTGATCTTGATTCTTGTGCTTTTTATTCTTTTGGTAGAGTAAAACTGTTAAGCATCCTGTTGTGGCAGACTTTGATGCTGTGGGCCAAATCATTTCCCTAGCTCACCTAGATGGGCATAGCATATTTCCTTTGGTTTTGACACAGCAAACCTGCTATGTAGATGCTGTGTTTCATCTCATACCTGTCTGAACAGGATTCTGCTGCACTTAAAAATGGCACAGGCCAGGAGAACATCTGAGTAGGTATAAAAGGTGTTTTTGTTGTTGTTGTGTCTAAAATATTACTGGCCACTTTTAGAAACTTGATCCCAATTTTAAATTTTGTTCCTGCAGATGGTATTGGCTATGTGGAAGATGGCCGAGAGATTTTTGATGATGACCTTGAAGACGATGCCCTTGATTCTCATGAGAAAGGTACCTATATTTTGTTTTCAAGAGAGTGCCGTTTTGAGATTGAAAGAATCAAAATTTGAGATGACTTGGTACTTTGACAGTTTCCTTTAAAGGAAAAGGACCTACCACAATTGTTTTTAGGTGTAGAATATGTTGTAATATTGAGAGAAGCATAGTTATGTCAAAAATTAAATGTAAAAGGCAAAAACAACACCACGAAATGAAGTTTCATGTCTTTATCATCCAGAGAGTTTGCTCTTTTACTTATTTTCGAATTTCAGTTCTGTGGTCATTTTAGACTTGCTGATTTTGAGAGCTGCAGCAATAAGTGATGTCTTTTAATTCCTGCTGAATTGATGTACTTAAAATTTTAGCTCTTTGATAGTAGTACAGTACAATAATAAGGTTTAGTAATCAACTTGCTTTGTCTAATCAAAATTTAAAATGATATAAATGAATGCGTCAGATTTTCTTAGCTACATAATCATTGGCAAAACATTTTTTTTTTTGAGTAAACGAGCCTGATTTAGTTTCTGTAAAATGTGAAGGGGAAATTATCTTTAGTATTTGTTTTTTTGATTTGCTTCATTATTATCACCATTGTAGATCCTGGGTCAGCAAACTATGGCCCACTCACAGCCAGTTTATTTTAAACAGCTTTATTGAGCTGTAATTCACATCCCATACAATGCAACTATTTGAAGTGTACATTTCGATGGTGTTTACTGTAGTCACAGAGTTGGGTAGCCATCACCACAATCAGTCTCACATTTTCATTACCCCAGAAGGAAATCATGCCTGTTACTGTGTAGCTCCCCAACTCAGAATGGTTTTTCATTTTTGAAAAGTGTTTTAAAAAAAGAGAAAAATGCAGAGAAGAACACGCCATAGCACCAGACAGACATACGTGGCCACAAAGCCTAAAATCTGTGCTATCTTGCCCTTTTCAGAAACTCTGGGCCCTAAATTGTGGATTTTTAACATTTTCTACATTTGTTTACTTTCTTCTTCCCCCTTCTCAACTGTATACAAATAGACTTTATTTTATTTTGGTCAACTTATTTCAAAGTAAGTTATAAACACCATGGCACTTCACCTCTACATGCTTCATCGGTGACCTCCTAGGAACAAGGATGCTTGTCTACTTAGCCACAGTACCCTTCTCATAGTATCATCTACTATGTTGGTTCATATTAAGATTTCCCTATTTAGCCCAAAATGATCTCTGTTTTTTTCAGATGCAGAGTCCACTTTAGTTTTTATGTCTCTTGAGTCTTATTTAGTGTGGAACAGTGCCATCCCTCTCCTCCTGCCCCTCTGGCTTTTTTTTTTTTTTTTTTTTTTGGTCTTTCATGACCTTCACATCTTTGAAGGGACTGGGCTGGTTTTGTTGAATGTCCCATGGTCTGGGATTTGCCTGATTGCTTCTTGGTGCGTAGAGTCAGGTTAAATATCCTGACAAAAATATGATATTGATGAAGTTGTGTCCTTCCCACAGATCTTATCAGGGGCACATAAGGTCACTTTGTCCCATTCTTGGTGATACTAAGTTTGACCTCTTGGTTAAAATGATGTTTGTCAGATCTCTTCCTTATAAAGCTACCTTTCCACCTTTGTATTAATGTAAATATGGGGTGATAATTTGAGACTGTGTGTCTCTTTTCCCTACCAGCTACCAGCTATCACCCAATGCTTTCAGCATCTATTGATGATTTTTTCTCTCCTTTTTAAAATGATCACTTCAAACTCGTGGACTGAAAATTACGGTTACAGTTCAGTATCCATTATCATCATTTTTGTGATGTTCAAATTATCCCACATTTGGCAGTGGGAGCCTCTTTGAGCTGCCTCCTGTGTCCTTTTGACAAGACACCATCAGTCTTTGAGCATTTCCATGCTTCCTGGGCCAACAAGATGTTCCAGGTTCTCCTTGTATTAGTCTTGTCCCAGACCTGGAATCAACCATTTCCCCTAAGAGTCATGGCTCCTTTAGTGGAGAATGGTATTCAGATCTGGAAGATGGGTGGTACTCCTTGCTACTGGGGTGTAACGGTTTGTAGGCCCTTTTGGTGAACAGAATTCAGAGATTTTATATAAATGTCATGATTTCATACTGATATATTCAATTCAGATAAAGCACCATAGGGTTCTTCTTCATCTTCCCCAATTCTATATTTGTGTCTGCCTTCAACCCCAGTGAAAACCCTTGTCCTCTAAAATAGACACAAAATAATTTTAGAAATTTTAGAGCTACTAAACTAGCATGTCTGCTGACAACCTTTCTAAATGAAGTTTATAATTTCTTTGCAGTTTTATTTGGTTTATATCTTGGTAAAGGTGTATAGTTAGAGAACTGTGTTTGGAAGGTGTATGAAGTAATTGTTTTCTGTATGCTATTTTATCAGTTTAGTCTATAGATTCATTTGTGTTTATTCATATTAGGGTTTTAAAAAATCCTTTCAATTTTATTTTTTGAATATTGTAAAACATTTTTATGATTTCAAAACCAAAACGATATTGAGATAGACTCAGGTAAATCTTATTCTTATCCCTGTGCTTTCTACTTCTTCATTTCCATAGAACCATTTTTAATAGTTTCTGATTATCCTTCATGTTTTTCCTTTTACAAAAAAATAAGGATGTGTGTATTTTTTAAATGTAGGATGTTATTCATTCATTAGTTAAGTTAGAATATGTGGACCGTCTTTCCTGTTTCTGCCAACCTGTGTAATATAGGAACTCTACACAGTGGTACCGTTTGGTCACAGTGTGGCTAATTGTGTATTCCTATTTTTTAATGTGTCCATGAAGAAGAGAACGAAAGGAGCCTGTCTGCTTTTTTATCTCCCTGAACTGAGGAGGCCTTTGTTCCAGTTCTGGTTATGTTGTTCATTGTCTGTATCATTTTGAATGAGTCCTGTCACTTACCAGGACATGACTTTTGTTGGCTGTAAGTTAGGTTGCACTGGACAGGGAGGTGATTGAGAAAAGGACCCATGTCCTAGTCATCTCAGTGCCAATCACAGTAGCAAGTGCAGAGAAAGTATGCAGCATTTGTTGAGTAATTGAGCCATCTTTGTGTTTCCATTGTCATCTTGTTATCTCTTCCCAGTAATACATCAGTGAAGAGATGACTTGGCATTCTGGAGGAGAGCTAGTCTTGGAAGTCTTTATTCCATGCTTTGCCACCATTCTCCCACAAGTCCCAACTGTTTCAGTGTCCCCCAGGAGAGCCCAATAAGATCTCAAGATCTTAGGAAGGGAAATGGAATTTTGCAATCCACTTTAAAGACTTAGAAGACATTGTAGAGTTTTGCATAGATGTAAAAGGACAACTCTTTATGGTGTGGATCCAATCCCTGACATGCTTTCAAATAGAGACAGAAAATATTAACTAAGTCCTAATGAAAAAAATTAGTAGGAAAATGAATAAACAAATAAACAGAAGCACTAAAATTGTGGAAGATTCTACATCAAATGTTGACTCCTATTTTGTATGTTTCTTTTTGTCCTTCTCTCTAGATACTACTAACCTACAATGGTGAGATTAAAGCCTGCTTATGAAACCTTCCTTGCTATTCAAACCTCTTTTGACCTTCTCTTTTGATACCCTGTATTAGGAACTGTATTTTGTATTCTAAACATTTTGACCATCAATTATATTCTGTTTCCAAACTGCCAAATGATCTCAATAAAAAATTATTTCTCTTATATTTTTCACAAATGTCCTACAAACTTTTTCATTTTTAGGCACATGAAAAAATGCCCTTTTTATTGTGGTTAAATACACGTACAATTTATCATAAGTGATGTTTAATACATTAACAGTGCTTGTAGCCATGACCATTATCTAGTTCCAGAACATTTTTATCCCCCTGAGTGAAAACCCATATCCATTAAGCAGTCACTCCCCAATCTTCCTTCCCTGATCCCCTGGCAACTACTAGTCTTTCAGTCTCTATGGATTTGCCTATTTTGAATATTTCAGGTAAATGGAATGATAAAATATATGACCATTTGTGCCTGGCTCCTTTTGTTTAGCATGATGTTTTCAAGTTTCTCTTATGTTGTAGCATGTACTAGTACTTCATTCTTTTTTATGACTGAAAAATATTCCATTGCATGGATAGACTGCATATTGTTTGTCCATTTATTAGTTGATGGAATTTGGGATGTTTCCACATTATGGTTATTGTGAATAGTGCTGCTGTAAACATTTGTGTGCAAGTTTGTGTTTGAACACCTGTTTTCAGTTCTTTGGGGTATCTACCCAGGAATGTAATTATGTATATAAATTTTTATTTACTTTTTTAAAAATTTTTATTTATTTATTTGACAGAGACACAGCGAGAGAGGGAACACAAGCAGGGGAGGGAGAAGCAGGCTTCTCGCGGAGCAGGGAGCCCAATGCGGGGCTCGATCCCAGGACCCTGGGATCATGACCTGAGCCGAAGGCAGTCGCTTAATGACTGAGCCACCCAGGCGCCCCTATTTACTTTTTTCTTACACAGAAGATATTTTTCTATAGATGCTTTTGTGCTTTGTGTTTTTTTCACTTAACAAGATATCCTGAAAATCATCCCATATTAGCACATAGAGATCTTTTTTCTTTTTTACTTGTTTCTATATTGTTGCATAGTATTTTACTGTATAAATGTATGATGATGGTGTATTCAAATGGTTTCGCTGAGTTGTCAATTAGATTTTCAGTAATTTGCTTTTACAAGTAATTCTGCATTGAATAACTTGGTGCATATGGTGCTTTCCTCAGAGAAAATTCCTAGGAGGAGGATTGCTGGCTCAGAGAGGAAAACGCACGTGAAGTTTTATGAGCTATTGCTCTAGGAGTTGTCCCATTGTACACTCCCATCTCCCAACGGTTTATACTGCTATGGCCTCGCCAACAGAGTACATTGTGAGACTCTTGGAGTTTTGCCACTCCCATACATGAGAAACGACAGTTCAGTGTGCTTTTTGTTTGTGTTTCTTTTACACATGAGGTTGAGCCTCTTTTCATAAAACGTCATAACTGTTTGTGTGTATATATATATATATATATATTTAAAGATTTTATTT